GGATAGCTTCTGCCTTTTAGGATCAACCATCAACAGTAAAGGAACCAGCAGTCAAGACATATGCCATAGACTAACACTTGGTAGAGCAGCCATGAAGGCCTTGGTAAAGATATTCGAATGCTGTGATGTCTCTGTGTTTACCAAGATCAGAATTGTGCATTCCATGGCATTCCCTGTGGCACACTATGGGAAAAAATTGGAGTTGGAAGAAACAGGACAGGAACAGTGTTGACATTTTTGAACTTTGATGTTGGAAAAGATTCCTGAGAATACTGTGGACAGCCAAGAAAACAAACTGATGGATCCTCAAACAAATCGACCCCCAGTTCTCACTCAAGGCACAAATGACCAGGGTCAAATTATCCTAGTTCTGACATATTATGTGAAGATCTAGCTCTCTGGAGAAGTCTCTAATGCTGGGAAACATGGAAGGAAAGAAAAGGACAACCAGCAACAAGGTGGATGGAGTCAGTTACAGTGGTGATGAGTGCACCCTTGGGAGTCCTCAAAGAACAGGTTAGGGATAGATAGATATGGAGAAAATCTATGCAGTTCGTAAGAGTCAACAATGACTGAATGTCACATAATCAATAACGAAAGAGAGTTTAGTCCAAAGCTGAGTCAGACATGAATAAGTGCACACTAGAACAGTCCAAGGGCCCAGGTGTCATGGAGGTTACTCAGTCGTTTTTCAGTCAAAGAGCTGAGGTTCTGGAAGCACATAAATTTCACCTAAAGTAGACCATGAATCTGAAATTGGTGCAAATATTTCTAACAAAGTCTAGCAATTGGAAGTGAGGGGGACTCAAGCTGTTGACTTCCCTTTTTTAAGCAGCCAACCAGTGGGGGTCTGTTTGGCTCTCCAAATTTCTCCAAATGTCCTCAGGCTGGTGGCTGTTGTGTTCGAGGCCCTCATCAGCTGACTTCTCTTGCACCTATTCTGGCTGATAAGTGATGGAGTCATTCCTAAGTAGCTGATTGTTCCCGGCATTCTGACACTGTGCTGAGAGAAGCTTACAGAAGCTCTCCTACTTCTCCAAGTCAGGGAGAATCATATACTGTTAAGATTTTTTCATGGGAAAGGATTCAGCTCGTTATCTCCACAGAAATGTTGTGTCTAGAGAGAGATCGTATGACTTGTGTGTTAGCACGTGTACTGATATTTACTGTTGGCGTGTGTATGCTAGTTACCAGTTGGGGGCACATAGTGGCAATATAATGGGAGGATCATATGCCCAGCCTCTTAGTACAGTTTCAGTATAGTGTTAGCCACCATGTAGTCATTTTTATGGGTTATGTAGTTGTAACTAATAACCAAGTAGTGTACCTCTTCTCTGAGAGTTTTTAGCTAGAGACT